CATACATTTTTTCACCAAAGACAGTTGGAACAAAATGTATTGTGCTATTGCTATATAAATTCACCTTCAAAGTTCAAATATCATAATCAAAGCACAAAGCCAAAGGTACCTAACAAACTAGTTCATACACATCAAATCAAAAAGACTAGGTATCAATGTCAATTGACAACACAAAGGTCTCATAGTCATTCGGCTCGAGCAATAAATTTTCATTCAATCTCAATCGTGTATGCCAAGCTCAACCTCGAGCTCATCATCTTGTTCAAATAGCTTCAGAAGGCGTGCGTGTTGTGCCTCCCTCTTCTTCCTTTGCCACAGTTTGTATAGGAAAATTGAAAATCCAACAACAGCTAAAACCCCCAAGAACACAAAGAGAATTGTCAACGGAGTTGAATTTGCAGCGGACTTCTTGCTTGCAGAGTTGTTATTGCCATCCGCAAAACCTACACAGATGACATTGACAATCATCAACCACTCACACATACTAAAATTAGGAAATGATATCTTTCATGTACAATTTTTGATTGCCGATTATCACATTTCATCGTATGCTATCAAAAAACTCTGTCTGCATTCGACTTAAGGGTAAAAAAGAAATAAAACATGGTATGAACAAGAATTTCACATATTAAAAAAAAAACATGGGCTAGGATTCGAGTCGAAGTGAACCAATATTCGTAAAGCGTCTTAGTAGGAATCGGCACGTGAGTCGTGTGGCTCAGTGAATAATACTTCACGACTGTGTGGCAAAACATGAAAAGATGAGAACAAAGTTTGGACAATATTTGTAAATTTTCCCAGCAACCAAAAACACTCCTTCATGTACCAGTTTTACTACCAAAGGAGCTCCTCAACTGCACCTATATAACTCAACTCATCAAAAGAGCTATAGCAACAAAGATTCGATTTTTTCAGTAGCTTTAATCTGTTTGTTCAAAAACCCAACAACTTATGAAAAGCAATAACACAACACAGAATTCAGGGCACAAAAAAATGCTCTGCCCATCATAAATCAGAGAAGGTTAGCAGCAGATTATCTATCAAGCAAGCACACTCTAACCGTACCCCAACAGCAACTGAACAAACAAGATGATTAAAGATCGAATCTTTATTCAATTTTTTCACATAAAAAATTGCATCTGACCCATCTTATCACATGGTATCACAAAAAGAGATCAACTGGTTGTCCAAACAGTGACCTAACATTCGACCCAACAAATAGTCAAACAATCTTCTCAACCAACGGGGAAAACACACGAATCTCATCCCGTTTCTAATTCTATCAAAAGCATGTAAAAACCTATGACAAATCAAAATATTCATTCGGATTGCAAGTGCATAAATCAAAAGCAAACCTTGGATTACAAATGAAGAAAAAAGGCACAAAAATAACTGCAGATAGCTCAAAGTCGCAAGTTTTCTCATCTTTTTCTTCTCTGGTTATCTCCTTTCGTCTTCTTCTTCGATATGGTGTACCAAAAATTTAAAAGAAAATTAAAGGAAAAAAAAAAACTCGCAAGTCGCAAGATTTGTTTTGCGTGTCAATAACAGTCGTCGGTAGCACTTTGAATGGTATAAAAAGGAATTTTGAGCTACTGTTTTATTCCTCCCATTTTCTTCCAACTATCACACGATCCGATTTTTTCTTGTAAGAATTAGTGTGAAACTAGTATTTATTTATTTATTTATTTTTTTTTTTCGTACAGGGACCTTCCAGTTTCCGGATCTACAGGGGAACCGACTAATTTGGAATCGAGCCGGGTAGAACTACAAGGGCGGCAAAACTCTCCCTCAAGAGTTTTAACACTGCTGCATTCTCAGGACTCGAACACGATACTACTGGTTAAGCTGGAAGAGACCCTGAAACTAGTATTTGATCATGTGCACGTGCACATAAATTTAAATTATCATAACTTATAAGTTATGTGTATGAATATAATTATAAATAATAAATTAAATAATAGTATCACATTTTGAAAATTTTGTTGTTGGTAAAAATGAATATCATAAAAGTATCCAAATTCATCACTATATTTATTATATAAAATAAAATAAATAATTATTTTTCATTAAATTCAACTAATATAGTATACAATCTTGGATGAAAATTTTGAATTTGAATGAGTTGGTGTAAAGATCTCTATTACAAAAGAAGACGGATGGAAGTCTCATCGAGTCTGGTAGTCAGGCGGGGGCAGCGGCTCCATTACAACGTTCCGGGGCCCGTTTGGAAAAAAGACCGAACATCGATCGCGTGGATCCCCAGGCTTCATTAGCCCATACTGCTCCTAGTCTCTCGGTCCAAAGAGTGGGCTTTCTGCCATTCCATGCCCTCGGAGAGTGCTTTGTCGTG